GACGGCCCGAGCCTGCGCCGGTCGGTCCCCACGGCGGGGTGCTCGTGTCCAGGGAGCGAAGAAGGTGCATCGAAGGCCTCGGACCAGGAGCTGGCGCAGCCCTGGGATCCGCGGGGACCTCCTGCCACGCAGCAGGACGGGCCCGAGCCGAGGACACGCGAGTGCTGGGCGCTGCTGGCAGGGGTGGCCACGTGCAGCTCCCCTGGCTGGGCTGGACCTTGGCTTCCGCTGCTTGTTGGCCTTCGTCCTTCGCAGTGCTCTGCCCAGACACAGCCTGCCCCGTGCTCCGCTCCGAGCCCCCAGCCGCCCGCCCGCCCGCCCTGCTCTCATTGCGCTGGTCACTCTGAAGGGCAAAGAAGTCGGGACCTAGCGGTGTCCACCGGGTTCGGTGACAACCTCTCCGAGACACCACCCAGCGCCTGGCTCCAGATCGCCGTGCTCCACATCCAGCCCCAGCCGGGGCCGTGCTGCGGTGAAATGTGCCTGGTGCAAGGAGTGCGGGCCTGCACCTCTGTGGGTGCCACCCCCAGACCCTGGCCCTGCAGGGATGGCAGCGACCTTAGTCCTTGCTGCATCTCTGAGCCCATCGCCTCTATCCGGCCGGCTCAGCAGGCCAGGGGCTGCGCGGCGTGAGAGCCCAGCTGGGATCGAGAGGGCCGAGCCGGTCGCTCTGGAGCTAGCAGAAAACATGCCTGCCCGTCTGCTGCTGGGTGCTGCTGCCGGCTCCCCCTCGCCCCCCAAGCCAGCATCGTGTCTGACTCGGCCTTGCCATGGCGGCGCAGAAAGCCCCGTTTCCTCTGCTCGCAGCCTGTGCCGCTGCTGTGATAAAAGGGCTTTGTGTGAGCTGTGACAATGTGAGGATTGATGCGGCTCCTTCCCCCGCTGCCGCGCTGAGAGTCAGACGCCCGCAGAGCTGCTCTGCCTTGGAGGTGGCACCTCGGTGACAAAGGCACCTTTCTCCCTGTCATCCAAGGAGGGCAGGTTCGTGTCAGCTGTCATAGAACGAGCGATGCACCTCCATGGAGCTATACCCCAGGGCACAGCCAGCAACTCTTGCCTGTGCTTAGCCCCCTCCCTGCCTCTGTCACGCTTGGCACTTTGTTCCTGGGCTCGCGGAGGGGCTGGCGCTGCCCCTCGAGCGTTTCAGCCTCGGGCCTGGTTTGTAGCAGCCCATCCCAGCCCGCAAGTGTAGCCGGCAATGCTCTGCTGGCAGTACCCAGCGTGCCCTTCCAACGAAGGAGTGCCAGCCTTGTCTGCACGGGCTGTCCGCCCTTGGCACAGTGGTGCTAGCACAGAGCCCTCGTGTGAGTGACCGGTGCAGCCCACGTGACCCATGCTGGGCAGGGTAGCTACGGTACGGTGCGGTGCCGTCCCAGCATTGACAGGCCCACAGAGATGCTGGTGTCCAGGATGCCTGGTGTTTCTTTCCTGGTTTGGCAAGGGCTGCCCCCCGGTACCCGGCTAGATCACTTCCCGTGCAAAGTCCTGTGAGCAGCAGCCCCCTTGCTTGCTCCTTGAGAGCGGGACCCTTGATGACCTTACTCCAGGGCAGTGCTCGTGTTCCCTGGCGCCAACCCATGCAAGCCATTGCATAGGCAGCAGCCTTGCCATTGGGCTGCCGCATCCCAAGCAAGGCGTTTGGAGAGGCATGCTTGGAGGTAGGGCTGCAGCTCTCCTCCCCCGGCGGCTGGGCCCTGGGCAGAGCACGTGCCCTGCTGCTCTTAGCCCCAAGGCTTGGTAGATCTGCCCCCCACATAGCGCAGGTGAAGAGCTGGCCCTGGGCTTTCTCGTGAGGAGGCGTTGTGGCGGCCTACAACTTGCACAGCCAGCTGCTGGCTCCAGAAATTGCTGGGGGCTTGGGAGCAGCTGGGAGACGGGAGTTGTTTTTGATCCTGTACCTGTGAGAGTAGCAAGTGTTCTGGACCGTTGGCTTGTGAGTGAGGGCCTGGGAGATGCTGCAAGTTGCTCCTGAGGTATGCTGCAAACTCGAGTTCAGCTCCACCAGACCCCGTGGCCCCAGGCAGCCCCAGTAACTTGCAGTGTCCAACCGGTCCCAGAAGCCTATGGCTTTCTGGGGCTGCTTTTTCATAGGAAAATCCCACGAACAGTTTCCACCTCGTCTGACTGGCTGCAGCAATCCTGCACCGCTGCAGCGTAAACCTCAGCTCCCTGGGAAGCATCCAGTGTGTCTGGGGCTGCATCTCCCAGTGGCTGTGGAGGTGAAAGAGCTCCAAGCATCTTGAGATGCATTTCTGCGCTGGCTGCTTAGACAATGCTGGGAAACTCGGAAGGGAAAGAAAAGCTGGAGAGGGCGGAGAGATGTCGACCTTTCCAGGACCTTCCCCAGGAAGGAGCGCTGCGTGGGACTCGGCCGCACCCCTGCAACTCAGATGAGCAAGAGGGGCCCTCGAGGGTCTCCCGACTTGCATGCGTTTGAGCCTCAGCAAGAGCGCTGCATTTGTGCGAGGAGTTGTGCTAAACGCTCTGGTTGTAGGGGAGCTGGCTGGAGAATGGCAAATGCCTTCAGCTTTCAGATTCAGCGTGCATTTTCCAAACTGTCTATGGGTGCCACAAGGTAAATCAGAGATCTGGAGGACCCTTCTCTTGCATTTTGACAGCAGAAGACGTGACGTCTGAAACTGGGGGGTGTTCTGGGCTTGCAGAAGCAAATCGTGCTATTTGTCACCTGTCAGTTCCCTTTGCTGTGGATCTTGGTCACTAAGCCACCTGGGAAAGGATTTATCAGAAGCTCTGAAGTAAAGGTCATGTATTGTTGTTTAAGTTTGAATGACAGTATTTCAGGGTCACAGAATTTGCGCCTTCCATTGGCGAGCGGTTTATTGCAAAGCCTTTGAGAGGCAGCAGGCTGCAGACTTTGCCTGGGAGCAGGTTAGTGTCTGTGCTAGAGGAGCAGTGCCCGCCGGCCGCAGGGCACCTGTCCCGTGGCTCGTCCAGGCTGACCGCGGGAGGGCGCGGAGTCCCGGTGGGCAAGGGAGGTAAAACGTCGAGGGCTCAAAATGCAAATTCCTATTTTCCAGGTTGCTAGGAAACAAAGCGAGCTGCGCCTTGGCTTGGCTCCATGCTTGCCGGGAGCTGGAGCAGGCGGTGGAGCAGAGCTCTTCCCTGATGCCAGCCCAGTGGCACTGTCTTCTGTGACACTGTCCAGGGTCCCTGCTCCTGCGGTCGGGAGCGCGCGTTAGACAAGCGTGCTCGGTGCAGCTTGCTCAGGCCCCAGCGGCGCGTGTTGCCTGCAGCGAGGTGTTGCTCTGACTGAGCGTTGCGAAGCGTAGAGTGCGGCTCCTGGCACCGGTACGCCTCAGCCTTTTGTAGAAGCAGTAAGTAACCAGTCATCCTTGGCCTGAAAGGTGCTGGGTGTGATGGCTGTGCAGCTGGGCCTGCCTCTAGGTAGCTCTCCTCCTCGGCTTGTCTGGCTTCCCTGGTGTGCTGCGCTCCCTCCCTCGTGCACCGAGCACGGCCCTCTGTGCTCCAGGCATGGGGCGGTTTCCTGGTGCATCCTTCCTTCCTGGGAGCAAGGGCGGACGTGCCTCGCGCGCTTAGGCAGCAGCATCCCTTCCCTGCCCTGGGCAGGCTCTTTGCCCCCTGCCTGGCTGGAGCTTTCCCCACAGCTCCCTGCCTGAACCCTGCCCTGCTTCCTGCACCAGCAGCTCTACCAGCCCGCAGTCCCCAGCACCCTCCCTTTGCTCCTCGACAGCGCTCCCAGGGCCCCGCTGTTCTGGAGGACTGGTGCATGCTAGTTGCCTCTGTGCCATTTCCTTGGCACCTGCCCTGCTTCCGGGGTGCGAGCTCTTGGGAGAGGGAGGCAGTGTGTGCTGGGTAGGAGCCCCGTTGGCTGTTTGCTGGCCGTGTGCGGGCAGGAGCAAGGAAGGGCTGGAGTCCCGCGGTAGAGCCCCTGCGTGCCTGACAGAGCTGGGAAGGGAATCCTTAACACAAAGCCTTTGGAAGCAGCTTCCACCCTGCCTGAAGTGGCTGAGTCACCCCACCCGCCAGAGCCGAGGGGTGCAGGGTGCTTCGTTTGGGGCATGCACTTCAGTTCTCTTAGCGCCGCTGGAGGAGCCCTGCCCAGCCCAAATGCTCCGGGAGCGGGGTGGCTGAGCTCAGGAGAGGCTGTTGGCACTGGTTCCAGTCCCGTCAAACACGGCAGAGCTGTAACTCATTGGAGGCAGACGCTACCGCGGTGCGGAGGGTGTGCCTGGCCGGGCTCTGGGTTGGGTTGGGTTTGGTTTGGCTGTCAGTCGCGGCACTGCAGCCTGGGCTCGCTTGCAGGCTGCTGCAGGGGCTGTGGGAAGGTGCTGCCCCACAGCCCCCTGACACTGTTTCCCTATTTCAGGATCAGTCCATGATGCCCGAAGTCCGTGACCTTTCGGACGCCTTACCCGACCTGCCAATGGACCCAATCACCGGAGTCGGGGTGGTTGCCTCCCGGAACCGGGCACCCACAGGTTACGACGTTGTAAGTAGCGGCCTTTCCAGCCCCACCCATCATGCTGTTTGCTGGCGTTTGTTGTGCAGAGAAGCATCTCTCTGCCAGCCCCCTATTATGCTCTGCGTCAGGGGGACGTTGGGCATGGGGGTTTGTGCCCTGCCACTCTGCTCAGGGCCTGGGCTTTGGGAGCATTTTGAGCAGCACTTTCCCCCCACCAGAGTTGCTGGGTGTAGGCATGTCACTCCATCCACTCCACTTGAAGGAGGCTAATTGCCTGGAGGAGGGGTTCCAGAAGCAGCTGGCCAACGTGGCATACAAATTTAAGGAATCCTAAATACTTCTCAGATTATACCCGCCATAGAAACACATCCCGCATCAGGTGTCTAACACCTTGCGGGCCAGCCCTGCCCAGCACTTCAGGATGGAACGCAGCCCCCGCGCCCAACGTTGGCTGGAAGCTGGGAGGTGGGCACAAGTGCCAGGGTACTCTGGTGAGTGCCACTGAAGTGTCCAAGTGGGCAGCTCGATGTGGGCTTTCAGCAGCTGCTTAACTCTTGGAGTGCATGGGCAAATGCCTTGTGGTCATTGCGAGGCTTTTTCCTGAGACTAGTGATCCAAACCAGGGAGAGAAGCTGTGAGCCTGCGCTGGAGACCTGGCTGCACTGTCAGCGCAGCCCAGCGCCAAGGCCGGGGGCTTATCCACTCTCCCATCCTCCGCTGTCTTGTCTCCTTCCGTGGGCCCAGATCAGCAGTCCCTTGAGGTCGCCACGAGGAATGAAACCCCGTGAGAGCCCTGGGCAGGACAAGAAGCAGGTCCCTAAGCCAAGCAAATCCTCCCCTTGGCCCAGCCCAGAGTGTAGCTGTCGGGTATGAACATGCAGCTCAGTGCATTTGCTTGGCCTCATGCATCCGGCAGAGTTGAAGAGCTGAGGAAAGCCTGAAGTGCCCAGAGCCAAATGGTGCGTCTGGGGCAGCACATGCTCACCCTGGCTGGGCTCGGAGGAGCCCCCAGCAGGGTGACCCGGGGCCAAGGCGTCTCAGAGGGATCGCTGGTGATCGCGTCTGTTACTGTCACGTGGCGGGGGCGGGAGCAGCTCCCCTTGGCGTGTTGGGGGCCCCTGGAGCCAGTGGGATGTTAACGCTGGCTGCCTTCCACTCTGTGCTGCATTGACTAACGAAGCATAATCCACCCCGTGAGGGCGAGCAGCCTGGGCAGGGAGCAGAAGCCTGCAGGGGGGCAGGTAGATCCTGTACAGATCCACACAAGGCCTGACCTGAACCCCATGCACCTAGGAAAGGGAGCCTTTCCACAGTCTTGAGTGGGCATTGGGCTCTCCACAGTGGGTGGCAGAGCTGAGAACAGATCTGCAGGAGTCGGGCTCCCAGCACTAGCTGGAGCAGCCCCGTGGCAGGGTCAGGGTGCTATTTCTGCCCCGTGGCCACTGGAGCAGGGCCTGCACTTGCTCTGCTTCCCAGCCAGTCAGTGTGGAGGCTGCCCTGCATGACCCCAAAAACAAGGCTGGGCAGGAGGGGCCTGGGTGGGCTGTGGGAGATGCGGCAGTGACGCAAGGGCCCTGCTGGGTCAGAGCCTGGGGGAGCGGGGCCCAAGCTCTCGTGCTGTGGCAGGGCAGCTGTCTCAACGCGCATGGCTTCCCCGTCGGGCGCCAGTGAGAGCCACTGCTGCTAGCAACGGCGAGGCTTCACCTGCACGGAGCAGCCAGGGCCTCTTCTCGCCCACCTGCAGCCAGCTCCACACTGCTGCATGCAGCTGCCGGTAGGGCTCGTGCCTCAGGACTGGCGCTGCGCTCGCAGCCAGCTCCCTGCGCAAGGTCTTGGCACAGGGAGACCATGGGCCACCTTGTGCTGAGGGCAGCCGGGGAGGGGAGGGGCGGGCAGGCAGGGACTCCTGTGGTGTCAGGCTGGGCCCAGTGGCGACTCGGGGCAGGGCTTCCTTTCCAGCATCCCGTGTGGTTTCACCCTTGGTCATGCCCCTGGCTGACACAGCTGTGAAGGATGGGTTGTGGGGAGGTCTTTCCTGCTGGGTCTGTGCTAAGCTGTGCACAGTGTTCCTGCATGGCCTGCCATGGGCTGGGCACTGAAGGAGTGCTGCAGGCCAGCACCCAGGTGGTGAGCGGGGGGGAAGAGAAAGTGCTCAGTTCTGGCAGGAGATTGAAAAGAGCAGGATCCCTGGGGAAGCCTGAAGGTTTACCTTGCATGCGAGAGCTGCCTTTTTAGGAGCTTCCAAGGGCTAACCAAGTCCCCCAAGACTACTTAAAAGCCTCATTTCGTGACTTCCTGGGAAACGAATGCTTGCCTCTGGTAGCAATGTGAATCATTAGATTCATAGCTGTTAGGGGCTGGAAGGGACCTTACAAGATCATCGGGTCCAGCCCCCCTGCACTTGGGCAGGAAAGACCCCAGGAGTCATCTAGCATGGGACTGGCCCCTGCAAGGGGGTTATGCCCCCTTAGCGGTGTAGGGCTCCCTGCTTCGTGAGTCGTTGGCCAGATTGCAGCCTCCCGTCTGGGACGCTGGCTCCCCGGGGCTTGTGCTGGCCAGTCTCACAGGAGTCATGTCAGACTTCACCGTCCCATCTGTGTCTGAAAATGGGCTTGCTGCTCTTTCAAGCGAGGCCCACGTTTCCTATCCCTCCCAGATTAGAGGGAAAACTGTGTTAGGTCCCTCTTCGCATACAGCCACTTCCACTGTTTCCCAGCTGTGACGGTGGTCCCTGCTGTGTGTGAAGAGCTTTCACATGGCAACGAGGAAGAAAAACATCCATCTTGGGAAAAGGCAGCTAAAAGTGTGTGGGTGGGCAGAGGGGCTCGGGTCTGGGGCAGCGCCTCGGTCTGCAGGCACAGACTGAATTTCAAGTTTCCCTTGGTGTCAGCCTTTGCTTCTGTGAACTGTTCAAGGGGGTGGTGGATCCGCTTGCACCAGGACTTATGTGTGTGTGCGAGGGGTCGCAGGTGCTCCATGGATTAGATAATGCCCCCCTACACCACCTCCTTAAAAATACATTTGGGTTGAATTTGGGAAGCTCAGAGAGCTTTTTAAGAAGTCCGAATTTAGTGTGACTTTCTTGCCATGGGCTGTGCTGGGCAATTTGAAAGGCACGTGGATGTCTGTGCCTGGTGTGTCGGGCAGTGAGCGAGGGGTCGCGCAGTGACCTTTGCTCCCCTGGGTGATAGGGTGGTCAGACCTTCCTGCCTCGCGCTTTGGGGCAAGTGAGGGTTTCCCTGTCAGCCCTCAGCTCTCTATCTCTCTGCAGGGTGCCGCTCTGTGCCCAGCCCCTGTGCTCAGAGGTGCGTGGGGAAATGAGCACGTGCATGGTCCTCTGCACTGAGGGAGGCTTCCTCCATTATGGCAAAGCCTTTTCACAGGCTATGCTGTGGCCTGCTGGGGATTCACTGGGGCCGGAGGAAGGGGACCCTGTGGGGCCTGATGCTGCTGCCTGCGCCAGGGAGGCAGGGGCAGGCCCAAACCCATCCAGGGGACAGGCTGTAGGTGCGCTGCCCTGGGCAGGTTCAGCCCCTGTAGCTGCCGATGGGGACAGGGGCTCCTCTCCTTGTGCCAGGAGGCAGGTATTGATTTAGCTGCTGATGTTGTTCTGCCACGGGGCCGTACGAGCCAGCACAGTCTGGGCAGCATCCATGTGCCCGTGTGCCACGCTGGTGCCAGGCTTAGTGCACGTATCTCTGCCTGGGCACTCCTCGGTGCAATGACTGAACATTCCTGCGGCCGGATTTCTGGCCGTGGGCTTGGGCAGTGTGTTTTCCTTGGCACTGGGCCTGCAGCCCTCATGCGATTACACCGGTTATCTGCTCCAGGCGTCGGGACTGGCATTCCTTCGCAACAGGTGCTTGCAGCAGCGTTAACTCTTTGGAGCCCCTGAGGACACTTCATTCCTTGGGGCTCTTGGAGCTGCTGCTGGCTCTTGTTGCACTGATGGCACCAGGCGTCTGAGGGGCCGTTGCTTTGCTCCAGGGTCCAGGCGCTGCCCCCACCAGCTGCGTGGCTGCTGCCGGGGCAGCCGTGCCGAGTTCCTCACAGTGTTATGCCTATCCCTTGCTGGCCTCGCTCGCTCGCTTCAAGAACAAATAAATTGCCTGCCTTCAGAGCGACGCCTGCTAGAACCACAGGCCTTGTCTAGACTTGCCATGGCTCCGTGTTGACTCGGGCGCGCAGAGGAAACAGCGAGCTATTCCCACGCTTTGCCTCTCCTGCAGGCTCGCTCCCTGCCGGGCCCACCTGCCCTGCTGGGGGTCCCTCCCACCTCGTGGCCCAAGCAGCACGTGGCGGCTGACTGGCGCCGGCAGCCAGGCTTGCCCACGCGCTGCCACCGTTTCGGTCTCGAGCACGTGGGAAGGCTGATTCCCAGCCTTTCCCCGGTGCGCGCCGGTCCCCCTTTCCCTCCGGTCTCTGGGAGAAAGCTCTAGCCAGCCGCTTGTCTTGGGCCTTTGTCCAACTGGCAGCTCAGGCAAATGACTTGGCTTTAATTGTGACCGTTCAGCATAGTAAAGGAGATTACAGCTCCCTCCCGACATGCAAGTTTAGCTGAGAGGATTGTTCTTGGCGAGAGCAGATTGTTGCAGGAGACCAGCTTGATTTAAGGTGAGGCTTCAAGGCTTGATTCGTGATGGCATTTTCCAAGGGGGCCCGCAGAGGATGTTTGTCTTCACATTCGCTCCCTTACATGTTGTTCCACCCTCCCCTTGCGTCTTGGGGCCAGCCTGCTTTATGGTGCCCTCTCTCCTGTCTCAGCCTCTACCAAGCCAGGCCGTCCCCCTGGCTGCTTCTGTTCATCTTCCCCTTCCTCTGTCCTCAGCCGCCCCTGGCATGCCTGCCCTCCCTGCTCCAAGTGACCGGCAGATGCACTGCACAGTGACTAGCAGCCGGCGTCCCCTGCAAGCTCGGTCCCAGGATGGCCCCCCACGCTGCTCCGTGGCTGCACCTTCCTCTGCCAGCCGTGTCAGGGACTGACCTGCAGATGGCGGGGTTGGTGTGCTGCACGGGCCAGCGTCACCCAGCCCGAGGCTCAGGGGCTTAGCACGGGACAGTCTGGAGCACAGCGCACCCAGGAGATGCTGGACCGGCACTGTCTTGGGCTGTGACGCTGGGAAGCAGCGTCCTGCCCACTTGTCCTGAAGCCCCTGGGCGCCCTGAGCTGCATAAGCCGTTCGCCTGTGCACGTGCTCCCTTGGCTCTGTGGCTTTGCTTGCAGCCCTCGTGTTCATCAGAGCGGCCTCTCTGCACAGACCCGTCGCGTGGCCACACAAAGGAAACAATGGGCTGCCTCCGTGTGAGTGTCGGCCCAGCACCTGGGTCGTGCGTCTCCCCAGCGGAGCCTGTGGCGGGCTTCTCTGGAGATCCTGGTGATCCGCTCCCCCCCCGGCTGTCAGGTGCCATCTCTTGTCAGGGCCTGAATTTTTGTTTCTCTCCCAAACCTCTTGGGACAATGTCTGTCTGGGTTTGGAAGAGTTCCCCGAGGTGTGGAGCTCTGTGCCTGTTCCCATAGGAAAGCCCCAGCTCCTCTCTCTGCTGGTAAGAGGGCTTCTGGTTTGAACAGAAGTGAAAGGGTGGATCCTTCACCGAGGTGCATTGGGAGTGGGTAAGGCAAGCCAGGTGTGCCCCAGGCTGCGTGACTCGAGGCAGGCAGCAAATGTAGGCCATCTCCTGTGGTGGATGGTGGTTGCCCCAGCTGCAGAGATGAGCCACCTGTGCAGAGCTAGGAGACTTCAAAGGAGAACCAGGAACTCCAGCCTGAAGCAGGCACAGCTGAGCTGCTGGTCTGTTTTTCAGGGTGAAGATGGCTCGGGTGCTAGCACGGCAGGCCTTGCTTTGGGAACAGGGGGCTCCCCTGGGAGCGCTTTGCATTTAGGACCCGTGTTCCCGGCCGCGAGTTCTTGTGCACCTCTAAACGGGTATTTCCTGCTCCAGGGGCATCCAAAGTTCCCATTTGCTTGGCAGCCAGAGTGGCTGGGGCGTGATTTAATGGGGATGCACTTGCTGTAGCGTTGTGGCCCGGCTTCTTGCAGTGTTCCTGCTGGCAGGACAGCGCACCTGCTCAGCCTCCCTGCCTGTTGCTGGGGGCTCCTCACCTTGGAGAGGACAATTTCATGTCTCATTAAAACAGCCCGGTGCCCCTGTCTTGCAGGACCGGGCCCCCTGCATGCAAGAGTGGAAATGAGCGCCCGGAGGTGCTGACTCCAAACTGCTGCCTGGTCGCGCTCACCAGAGTTGCTGTGCCCTCGTTAGAATAGCTTTTGTCAGGGTGTCTTTAATCAGTCTCCTCCTCAGAGACCATGTGTTGAGAAAGGCGGTGTTTTGTTTGGGTCTGCTCTTCCTCTTGGAAGTGCCCAGCATTGCACCTTATGAAACAAGCTAATGAGATGTCCAGGGCAGCATTAATTAGGAGGGGCCTGAGGAACCTGTGCCGCACACACCAGCGGTATCCTGCTCACATGTCCCCTCTCTCCCTCTGTCCAGGTCTCACAGACGGCAGATGGCCTGGATGCCGACCTCTGGAAAGACGGCTTGTTTAAATCCAAGGTCACACGATACCTGTGCTTCACCAGAGCATTTTCAAAAGAGAACGTAAGTGTTTGCCGAGTGCCAGCGTGCAAAGCGTCTGGCTTGGCATGTTCCTTGCCCTCCGATGATTCACTTCATGGAGCTCGTGTGGTTGAGGCAGGTGTTTTGCCAAGTCGGGTTGAGTCAGTAGGAAAGCCCAAAGATCTAATCTCTGGTTTAAGTTATTCCACCTCCTCACCTGCCACTTATCCTTATGGAAGACAAATCCCAGCCAGTTTTGCTGCAGTAGGAGCGCACAGAAATCCCTGGGCCTGTTTCGTGGTTTGCCACCCGGCTGGCACTGCTGCCCTGCATGGCATCGCAGCAGGCAGTGCTGCCAGCATCGGTCAGCCACTGGCTTGGCAGGGACAGCAGGGCACAAGGCTCTCGGGCTGACCAGGCTCCAGGCCTGGGCCCTGCCCCGTTCCCCAACAGGATTCCCTCACCTTTGCTGCTTCATGCATGTTCTCGGAACATTTGCCCACATCTCCTGGCAGCTTTTGCATGCATCCACCCTATGATTGCATCCTCCACCACCAGTGTGGAGACTCAGCTTGCACCTATAGGCAGCAGCTGCCTGCCTGCCTGCTTCTCCTGTGAGGAAGAGGAGCCCACGTCCCACCAGTGTGTCCTGTGGAGGGTGTCCCTGGGACAGGGTGCTTTTGGGAGGGGAAGGCATGTGATTTGATGCCTCGTGTTGGCTTGGGATGTTTGTCGGCTGAGTATAATACAAACACTTAGCATTTCCAGGAGAAGATGCTTAATTCTGCCTCCAGTCCTAAAGCCCTGTGGCAACAATAGCCATAGACCAGGTCGGGAGGATATTAAACAGGAGGATTTATGATCACTTGAATATTCAGTTTATCTATGGCTACCTTAAACACGAGGCTGTCAGAAGTAATTACAGGACAGTAGCAGGCGCTGGCTACCAGGGACGATATAAATGCCCCGAGTCGGTGCCTGTTGGGCTCTGGTCATGAATCATTTGCTCAACGAGGTTTGGGAATACGTTCCTCCTGTTTATGAGGTGCAGGTTAAAGGGAGTGTGAGGCAGGGAGGGTTGATGGGGTCTTCCTGCCGGCACCGCCAGCTCTGCAGCCAACAGCTGACTGACGTGGGGCTTGGCCCCGGGTAGCTGCCCACAGCCCCCTTCCCGGTGCGCTGGTTTGTCTTCAGGCCATTCGAGCGGTGCGATCAGGGCCACGTGCCAGCATCCGGCCCTCCTCCATGCTTGCGGGCCACTGGATAAAACTGCCCCGGTGTTAATCATCCTCACCGTTCCCCGGGTGCCGAGGAGTTGCCTCTGTCCCTTCTGACAGCGCATCTCACAAGTGCTTGTCAGCCTCTGTCACAAGCCCCTGTGGACCCCGCAGGCTGTGCTGAGTGGGACCGTCGCTGCCACCGTGCAGGGCTGCGTACTCGGTGCTTGGCAAGGCAGCGCTGTGCTGCTAGTACTCGCTGGCGCTTCCACTAAGCACACTCAGCATTAATCCCCTTCCTGCTGCTTTGGCTGCGGGGCTGGCTGGCAGCACCGGGGCAGGAAGCGCGGGAGAACCACTCCCTCTCTGCTGGGAACTCCCCTTTCCCCCCTGCTCCCAGGCTAATGCTGTGGGAGCCCCTCTCCCCCTCCTCCTTCCCCCCGGAGCGGCTGGCGGGATGCCACGGACTCGGCACAGACTTGGAACCTTTGAGGCTTAAAAGTGCTCAGAGCTGCCAGCAGCACGTTGCATCCTGCCGCGGAGAGATTGGCCTCCGCGGCGCTGGCCGTCGGGCTGCCGCGTTTGATCAGCCTTTCCCATGCCTTGCTCTCTAAAACCGGGGTCTTCTTAAGTTCAGCTCAGGCAGTGTGCGCTGCTGGGCCCTCTCTCAAACCCATCCCACAGACTCTGCGCCAGCCCTGGCCTTGCTCTGCTTAACACGCTCCGTGCAGTCTGTTCTGCTGCCTCTCTGCTGCTGGTGGGGAAAAAGCCGTCGGTTCAGCTGGAAGTCCCATTTTAGCGTGACACGGATGGGCAGCGCAGGTAAATGAAAGATGCGCCAGCAGTCATGCGCGATCTGCCCGTCACCGCATCCATATGGGACACCGGCTTGCACTCAGACATTAGGAAGCTGGCACTGCTTGCTTTCGCAGAGAGGCACGGCGCTGTGTGTAAACTGTAGTGATTGAAAAGAAAACATCTACTTTCACTGCTCGGGAGGTATAACCAGCCCAAACGGCCCTGCCCTCTTCTTTATGTGCTTAATGGTTCCAGCATAATAACCAGAAGGCAGTGTTTGGTCTGCAGTATTTTGCCTGCCCAGATGAAAGCTGTGCATGTCACTTAGCAGCAAGTAAGGATAAAATATACTGACTGAGTTTGATAGCTCAGAATGATCTTTTAATTGTGCTTTGTATTGCACTTATGTTTATAATGGCCCATGTAGTAACTAAAGAGTGTTTTTCTTCCATATCAGAATACTGGCAGCAATATTAGCTTTAATGGGAACTGCAAAGAAAATCCAGTCTCTAGACAATTGTGGAGGCTGTCGTTCTAAATTGTGTTTTTAGCTCTTCAAACCTTGATTAATAGGACACGGCACTGGTTCAGGATTCATATGGATTCCAAATGGAGTTTATCATTCCAAATGGCGCGCTACTTTGGAGTGGGCTTGCCTGCTTTTGGAGCTAGCGCCACATGTATTCAGCGCTAATTATCAGATGCACACAGTAACTTTGGCTGTGCCCACGTTAACATTTCCTGCCACTACTACCATGTAAACATCCTGTGGTTGTTGCCATGTGGAGTGCTCAGGCCATGGCCAGCTTAGCCGCAGCTTTTTGCTTTAGTGGTTGAGAAGGACTGTGGCCTGTCTCCCCACAATGTCCGGCAGGGCTTACAGTGAGAGGAGATGGTGCACATGGAGAAAGCTGCTATAATTGCTCAGTGCGTGGACCGTACGGTGCCCAGTTGCTAGCTGATTGTAGGGCCCCTGCTTGCCCTGTCTCCAGTACATGTGGTCTGGTGAACCACTCAGTTCACCTGGCAGTTCGACGTCCCACTGGAAAGGGGGAGGCTGCGCCTGGATGCATAACGTTGTCACAGCCCACTGTTTCTCCTCTCTCTGCAGAGCCACTTGGGCAATGTCCTGGTTGATATGAAGCTCATCGATATCAAGGACACGTTGCCTGTGGGCTTCATCCCCATCCAGGAGACAGTTGACACACGTAAGTGTCTTGGTGCTGTCACCATTCCCCGTCGGTCAGCAGCTGGCTCTGCCCAGGCACCTGCCGCTTGTGCCTGTTTGTGACCGGGGCCAGGGTGGAGTTCAACACCTGCCTCTGGCCCTGGGAAGGGGCTCAGGCTGCCTTAACAAGCAGGAAATGACGACATGGTGTCTTCTCTGGCATTTTAATGCAGCTGCCCTGGCCACACTCTGCAGTGGGGGCAGCACTCGGCTAGCATGGGGGCAGAGCAGACGAAGGCAGCGCTAGGTGATGCCTGCCAGGGCACGGCTGCAGGCTGTGCTCGCATCGTGAGCGAAGCTGTGACCGGGGATTTCACTCAAGACCTCCCATGTCCCAGGCACAGACTGCACCCTCTGCTCCAGCTCTGGAGGTAACAGGGCAGGCGGGTGCGGTGACCAGCTGGGCACCAGCACTGTGGTGCTGGCTCCTGCCGTTTCATGGAGCCATTTGCCTGAACAAAAGGCCCTTGGTGCCTCATGTCCCTGCCCTGTCAAAGCCAGGCGGTGCCCGGGAATGGCAGGCCCCTGAGAGCAGTGCAGTAGAGAAGCTTTTACGGATGAGTCAAAATTCAACATTAGAAGCTGCGTGAGTCACTGCGGAAGTGCTGCTCTGGTTATCCCCCAGCACCTGCGTGGCTGGGCATGGCCTGCGGTCGCTTCTGTGAACCATTCACAGCCTGCTAGCCTTGGGGAGAGGAGGGGTGCCTGAGGGTCCCACCAGGCACTGCTCCTTTCCCCCAAGCCTCTGCTCCCCGTGGCAAAGGGGAGCATTCCTCCAGAGCTGGCTCTTGTTGCCAGATAGACTCAGGCCTTGGCTCCAGCCAAAGGAAACCCCATGTTCAGGTGATCCAGGAGCAAAATGCGTGTCTGGCCAGGTCCTCTGCCCTCCCCCCATCCCTGTGCTGTCCCCCCTTGCCCCCAGCCCGCTCCACAGTGGGTCTTTGCAGCATCTCTGCTAGCTCCCCCAGGGCCAGAGAGGAGCTGGCCAGGCCGTGGCTGCAGGACTCAGTGGTGTTGCCAAGGGGGCTCCCTGGCCCTTTCTTGAATTCACAGGTCCTTCCAGATAACCAGTGATAAAGGAATCCAGCCCAGCACGTACGTGTGTGTGTGTGTGAGAGTGAGAGAAGGGCTGAATGGAGTCAGAGGGGGGTGGCATTTCAGTCGCAGCCAGCTTAGGTCCAGTAGGAGCCAGTGTCCTACAAGCAGAAGGCCCTACAACCCTTCATGGACTGCTTCCCCAGCAGAGTCCTCACCACATGCACAGCCAGGGAAACCACTGGCTTCTCACGCTAATGCTGTGGGAGTAACCTCCTCATACCTTGGTGGTGTTAAGCCCATGGTGGAGGGGGAGAAGAGACTAATTAATTCTACGTGTACTGGATTGCAACCCGTGCAGCCCTTGAAAGCGGAGGCACTAGTTGTGTTAATGAAGTGGTGCATTTCCGTGCTTCCATTAGCATGACTGAACGCATTTCTATTGACTGTTTATAATATGTTTACTTAAAATTAGTTCTGCTTAAGCCTGTGTAATTAATGGCTTGAGCTCCTAAACCGGGTCTGCAGCAAATGCTGCACAGTGCAGAAGACAAAAACAAATACCGCTAACTGCGTGATGTCGGGGCAGCGAGAGAACACATGCTGCTAATTTTGTCCCAGGTGGAGTTTGTGGCAGTGCATTTCCCTGTGTTCTCTCTTCTTTCCCTGTCGTCTGGGCTAATCACAGAAGGTGCTAAGTCTGGTGCTGCTCAGCAGGTCCAGGCAGTCCACACTTCGGTTATAGCATCCACACTTGGTCCCGAGAAGAGAGGGGCCAGACACTTGGAGGAAAGTGGTGGGGCAAATTTACACGTTCCATAAAAGCAGGTTGCAAAACAGCAGGAGCAGGGCTGTTTGCCTTTAGACGGTTCAGGTTTGAAAGTGCCTGAAGGATGAGCATTTCCCACTGCGGGGTGGTACTTTGCAGGCTTGCCTTCAGTGTCTGAACTCCTGCCTTCCTGCTTATGTATCAATGTCTGTGATGTTTCGAGGGCCCCCATACAGGTCTTGCATGGCAGGTCTGGCCTGAGGTGGAGCGCCAGCCTCGGAGCGCAGCACACCTGCATCCGCATGCTGGTTTCTCAGTGTCCTTGTCTGGGCCTGCACAAGAATGTGCGTTGCATCCCCAGGCAGAGGGGAATGCCGCCGGTCTACGTGGGGACTGGGGCCTGCTCCAGCACAGCCCTACTCAGTGCCCACATCTGGGCTCATTTTTTTTGCTTTTGTTTCAAATTGCCCCCCACCCCAGATACTGCTTTCTGGGACACTTGGAGGCTTCTGCCTTCACCCACTGCAGCCTGACCTGCATTTGCAGCTCTGGTGCTGAGCAGCCTGTGCTGTGCTGCGCTGCGCTGTGCTGTGCCAGTGCAGGAGTGACATTGCCCTGGGGATGAAAAGCAGGGTGCGCCTGTGCAGGGGCTTGCCAGGCCCCGGCAGCCCTGGCAGGCACAAAGGTCCTTGAGGGATCTGGCAGTTATTGCCTTGCAAATCTCATTTTAATCCCTGGGAAGATAATGGAACAAATGGTGAGAGAGAATCCCTCTGCTCAGTGGTTGAGCCAGGAGTTGATCAGCCCTGGGGACCCATAAGGAAGTGACCCTGCCAGAGGAAGTGTGTTGGTCTCTTCATACAGCAGGGGAGGGTAACGGGAGTGTTGGGTTTAGTAAGGCACTCGGCACTACGTCTCCCGAAATCTGAATTTAGAACTGAGTTTGTGCCGACTTGGGTAGTGAGGGGCTGGCAGCAGGCCACGGGAGTGTTAAATGAAGAGGAGAAAAGCCAGAAGTATTGAACTGGGTGAAAAGTGCTGAGCGAGGTGTGCGAGGGCTTGGCCTTATTTAAGATCTCTGCTGCTCGTCTGTGATGCAGCATAGGACGCTAATGAGGTTCTGCCGTGGTACCACAGAGGGAGGAGAGCGAGAGCAGCGAGGGCAGAGCAAAACAAAGGAGCGCCCACGATCAGAGGTTTCAGCAGACGGCAGCGAAGTGGAGCCCATCTGGGAGGGCGTGTGCAGAGCCCTCGGAAAGCTGCACCTCTGCTGCAGCTAGTTCCCTCGTACAGCGTGGCCTGGCAGGAGGGGTTTGTATGAAGGAAGCGGCCCCGGGTGAACCTCCCGCACAGCCACACTGTGCCACACTGACGTGGCCAACCCTGGTGACTTGCACTGGGGCTTCTCCTACTACAGCAGCAGCTGTGCTGGTTTCACCCCCCAGCAGAGGCAGGGCCTTGGAGCCCCCTGGATGGGGGCTGCCTCAGGGGACTGGAGTCGGGTGACCCCCACAGATTTCTCTCCTGTTCCCTGGCTGCACAAGGTGGGAGCACATTGCCGAGTGCTCCCCTCAGCGTGGCGGCTGGGGCTGTGTGGGAGGCACTGTACACTCATGCTGCCTCTGCTTGTTACCTATTAAGAATGGCCAAGTGGAAACCCCCGCGGTCCGGGGCAGACCTGGCCCGGTGGCAGCTCCAAACATGGGTTGTTGCAGGAGGCCCAAGAGGCTGGTATCCACTGCTCAGTGACAGGAATGCTCCTGGGGGAGAGACGACAGGAAGAAGATGACATAGGAAGTGTAAAAAATAGCTTGACAAATTCTGTGCAGAGGCTCAAGCTCTGCAGGGTGCGTGGCATCTAACCTTCTCTGTAGATGCTGGTGTGGAGAGAAGCAGTGCTTTACTGCAGTGCTTAACAGCAAACCTCCTGTGCTGTACAGAAGGCCGCACATTAGCAAACCGCCCTGCAGTCCCTGGCGAGCACTGTGCAGCGGTCAGGGCTCTTAGGACACATCTGGTGTCTGCCTCCTCTCCCTGCCGTACCTACCTGCATAAAACCTGAAGAGGTGATAAATAACGCTTATACTCTGATTTGGCGTAAAAACCAACCTCCATCCTGGGTTGCTTTTGCAGAGGAAATGGCTTTCAGGAAGAAGAGGCTGTGCATTAAATTTATCCCTCGAGACTCCACAGAGGCTGCGATTTGTGATATCCGAATCCTGGGCAGGTCTAAGCAAGCTCCTCCGCAGTACACTTTTATAGGGTGAGTACCTCTTCATCCAGACTCCACTGCCACGTTTGCCATCGGGGAGCGGGTACCAAAGCCAGGCACTGTCACTTCCTGCAGGACTTCAGTGAGGGTTTTATAAGTGTTAATTAATGTTTGTAAATGGGATGGTGCTGTATAAGTGCAAAGGATTATCAAGCTCGGTGTAAGAATTAATTGATCCTCTGTAGCAATTAGCTTGGTTCTGATTACACATGTTTGATAGCCGTGTGCATACGCTGCATTTACTAGTAGCCTTAATGGCTTTTCTCTTTTAATTACAAAGGGAACTGAACAATATGGGCATTTGGTACCGAATGGGCAGGGTGCCACGAAACCACGAATCTTCACAGCCCACGACTCCCTCTTCCCAAGCACCGGCTTTGACACCAGCTCCCAACCTCCCTAGGTAGGTTCTGCTGCTTTTGCCTTTGCTTGCTTGTTCTGTCCTGCCTGGTGGAGCGGCACAGCTCCCTGTTGCTGGTACCCATCCCAGTGGGGCTAGGATCACAGGCAGCGTCCGAAAATAAATCATTACACAGCCTGCCCTTTTGTGTTGGGGAAGGGGCAGTTGTCCCCAACATTGGCTTCCTGGGAAGTGGCATGGGTGTTATATAGGGAGGACGCACAGATGTGGCTGTGGGGTGAGCTGGTGGTAAACCAGACAGAACGGAAAAAGAAACGCGCCAAGGAAAAGAGCTCTTCCTTCCCCCGGGGCTTCCAAGCAGGTCTCAGCCAGCCTAGTTCAGACCGCACACAGTTCTGTGCTTGGAGCGGCCTGTATCGTGTGCCTCGTACAGCCAAGAGCACACTCTCAGCCCTCGGCAGACAGCAGCAGTATTGTAATGCTGCTTCCAGCTGCTCCTCTTCCTGTGCCTCGAGCTGTGTGCAGAGGATCACTGGGTCTTAGCCCGGTGCAAGCAGGTCTGCCAGTCACGGGCTGGCCGGCAGTCCAGCTACCTGGACCTCCCACCTCCCCCATCACAGCTGGGTAGGTAGAGGCAGGTGGGTTTGCAGAGTGGCTTTTGCACAGTGAAGTTGATTGTATGAAGAGAAAGGACCACTGTTTCCTGAGCCCCACAATTAATCGTCCTGCACTGTGAGGCACAAGGCTTGCTTCCTTCTGCCGTGGCCCCATGGTCCCTGGGCTGTACCAGACAAATGGCAGGGACTGCTGCCTGCCCTCACCCCACGCGTAGCGGTGCCAGGGCCCCACTTGGGCTGCTGATGCACTCCTTGTCCTTGCAGTCGGCTGTGCCAGGTGTGTGCCTGTTCGTGCATGTGTGCGTGTAATCCCTCTGTAGAACAACGGGAGCACAGTTGTAGCTTATCGTTACTTCCTGGCATCTCTTGGGCAAAGCACAGCAGTCTCAAAAGCCAGGCAGGCAAGCCATCTCATGCTACAAATCATTTGGAAACAGCCCTGCACCCCAGGGGAGAGGGGTCCTGCAACCGAGGAGTCTCCCCCGGACTCTTGCCCCGTGCAGCTGCCACTAGGCCACAGGTCCTTCCAAGAGCCCTCTGGGCAGTGCTTTTATAGAGTACATGCCTTCTGTCGTGCCAGGGTTTCTGGATGCACAGCCGGTATTGCAGATAGGTTTACGGTGCTAAAGTAAATGTTTAGCGCTCTTATTTCTAAGGAGGTGGGGGAATTCCTTTGAGACAGTGTAGCGTACGAACCCCAAGGTATTGCATGAATAGAAAATACTGCCCAGACCCTCATATATTTTGCTCAGCTGGATGTTTCGAGAGCGGCAGTCTCGGAATGACCCGTAGAAGGTTTCTGGATGGTAAGCTATGGTAACTTCCTCCTCGTTAAGGCTGCTGCATGCAGCTCTTGACCCTTCATACTGTTGCAAGCCAGTATATCGCAGAGACTTCTCGCCCATCTTCAGTGGCTTGCGTCTGACCGGTTATTTCACAGAGAGTTTTGCTCTGTCTTGAAGGGACTGGTGTTGCCTGTCGCAGTCTGGCACCCAAGGTGCAGCTGGGCCTTTGGCTTAGTAGGCAGTGGTGTAAGAAGTGGGCGTGTGCCCAGAGCCCTTGGTCTGTCCACGTGGAGGTGCAGTGTTGTTTCACAGTGCTGCTGGGTGCAAGCTGTGTAGCAGCAGGCCAAAGGGAGACGTCTCCCCTTCACAGCAGAGAACAGCGTTTTCTGTCTGTGAGAACAAGACGGCAAGTTTCCATGGTAAAGAGAGAACGTATCTGAGCAAGGCAACGTCCGGGGCTGTCCTTAATCGCTAAGTGTGAAAGGGTCGCTTTATGGCTGAGCAGGGAGGGATGCAGAACAGCTCCAGAGCCATTGGGAACAGGGCCAGGATTGGAGCTCAGAGCATCAGCGACAGTCTGAAAAGAAGAGTTTACAAGGCTTATATATTTTATAACCTCTTGTTGTACAGTTTATGGTTTACAATGGCTGCAAGGAAATTGGATCAGTTTTGTTTTACTTGCCAAATAAACCAAATGTCAAAATAGTCAATATAAAATGTATTCTAATTTGGCTGAGTTAAAACAGCCGGTATGTGGTGGAATAATTGAATGTTACATTAATGCCTCCTAGTAAAAACCACCTGTCTGTAGCCAGCTCTACTCTCGTGCCCCACATGTGATTTACAGGTAACTTTCACACCAACAGCTAATCACTCAAGGCGTCTCGCGTGTCTGTTTTTACACCAATTATTTATTATCCAATATATTTTTTTTTAGAAATAGAAATGTATATAAAGATGCATCCTGCAAATATTTCTTTATTAGAGGAAACATATGTTACCTGAAAAGCTGCTTTAACACTTTATCCACAGAGTAGTAAGTTATTCAAGCTTAATGTCCATGGAAGATTGCAGTCAGAAGTAACCTCTTATTTTTACATGACCATAGAGATAAGAGATTATGCTTGTAGCCAGTTGCCATTTTATTCCTCATGGATATATGCCAACAGCAGCAGCAGAAGATTGCTGCGAGCTGTGCGGTGAATACCCAGACTGAACCAGCGCACGGAAGAGAATATTGCCCCAGTGGGATTTTCCTGTGAGGATGGTCAGACATTTAAAACCACTCTCTTATTTCCGGCTAGCTGTGTAGAATACTGTGCCTTTAAATCACAACAGCCGGCAGGAAGCCTTGGTGCTTCACAATCATTGCGAGTGCTACGAATATAAACCAGAGCAGTAAAACACCCAGGTAGATGCCGTGTGGCTGAGCCCTTCCATATGGGAGGACTCTTTACAGCATGCAGTTGTCCGCTCTGTGCCAGGCGTCCTCCTCCGATTCAGGAGACGTGTCTGTGGCTGATGGCGAGCGATGCTGGAGCATTCAGACTCCGTCCCGGGACGCTGCTGCTCTGCTGAAAGCTTGGCCTCCAGGCCCCGCTTGCCTCAGGCCCTCCGTGCTATGCAGGGAGGGTGCAGCCCCGGGCTTATCTTAGTGCTGCCCCAGCATTTCACTCTTCCTCCCAGTGATGGGGGCAAGGTCAAGGAGTCCTTAACCTCTGCCCCAGGGTTTGTTGGGAGCAGGGAAGTAGGTCCCTGGGACTTTGTCTGACCTGGTTTCTGTGTCCAGCAGCTCAGCTGTGTGCTTCATCTAACGGTTGCAACAGCCCTTTCCAGGGACAGAGTCGTGAAGGGCTCGCGGTCTCATTCCCTCCACGCCCCAAGAGGCTGCGGAGGAATCGTTGCGTTCCCTGAGCTCCAGGGCCCGCCTGGCGCTGTCCTCCGGGAGCGGTGCCTGCGGTAGAAACACACCTCTACCCCTCACCTTCACACACCGAGTCACCAGGAGGAAGCTGCATCTGCCGGGCCCCTTACTGCAGGTGTCTGAGTTTATGGTCCCAAACTCCAGGCCCCACAGGCACCCATGAGGATGACGCGTGGTGCTCTCGGGTGACCTGGTGAGCTGCCATTGTGCTTCCCAGGATGACACAGCGTCAGGTCTTCCCCCCAGACTGTGTCAGGCTCTTGGCATCGATGGCAGCCTGAAGAAATGCTCTTGCAGTTTCCTGCCCCAGAGGCTGCTGCTGAAGCATCCATTCTCTTGCTTTGAGTTGCTGTTAACAGTAATCCTGCATGCAGCTGCCGCTCGCTTTCCTCCGTGCCGTTGCTCTGCGCTCCCGACTTGGGGAGCTTGGTAGGCGGTGTTCCACGAGCAGGTGCTCATGACAGATATTTTAGCCTTGCCTTTTGAGCGCTGCTCCTTAATTGCCCGGTGTGAACAGCATGTGGATGGGTGGGCACCACCTGTATGTGTCAGAGACCTTGCTCCATGTTGACGGCGTAAGGGCCCCATTACCAGCGTGATGAGGGCCCTGTGCAGCCTGCGTTCAGGTTTGCCCAGTGCTCAGCGCCCCCCATAACCTGAACCCCGGTGCTGTGGGCTGGGGCCCTGACCTCTGGCACCCTCAGCGGAGCGAGCCCACCTGCTCTCTCCGCTGGCCTCCTTGGCTCGTGCGGATGCTCCGGGTTCCTTCCCAGGGTGCCGCTGGAGCCGGCGCCAGAATCATTCAAACAATCTTCGAACGATTTGTCAGCTTCAAGGAAGATGTCACTCACCGCTGCCGAGTGTGTTTTACAGTGACAGACATAATTGCACTTAACTTTTTGCGTGGATGTTATCAATCTGTGACAGATACTTTGGGAAATGGAACGCTTTGATTGCAAAAGATGTGTCACATGCGTTAAATCTTCCTCTCGGCGAGACTGGGATTCAGTCACAACTTTTGCTTGTTGATGTCAGGTTTTGAGAATGTAGCTCAGCACTGACCCTGGAACCGCTCCGTCATTCAGCTCGCGGGGCTGTCATCCAAAGGTTAATGGCTTGTGGGGGGCGGGCAGGCGGGCGGGGGGGAATTGTGCTGGATTTCCCTTCCCCCAGGCAGCCTGGATTCACGCGTGCCGTGCCAGGCTGGGCTCACGGTGCATGGGACTGGGGCAGCGGGAGCCCCTCTCTGCCCTTGCAGAGCTCACCCTCCCCACGGGCCCCGTGGGCTGGGTGGCACAGCTCTATGCCTTTTCCTCTTCCTTTTTTTACACGACCACAGAGAAGCGAGAGCAGTGGGTGGGAGGGGATCAGGTACCAGCCTGGACTCCCCTTTGAGATCCAGGAGTCCAGAAGCTGGCCCGCCCGGCAGAGCCCCCTTGAAAACAGGGCCTGGCAGAGGGCACGGTCGGACCCCGCTGGGCAGGGCACTGGTGGTGGAAAGGCTCAAGGTGGAGGAAAGCTGCTGAAAACAAAGTGTTTGGGCCTGCAGCAGAGACCAGAGGAAAGGCCTGCGTGCCCGGCACCTGGGGGGAGCGCCGGGTGTGTGGGGTCAGCGGGCCCCCGAGGAGGTGCCTGGTCAGATTTCCAGCTGGGCGCCCGTCCCGCCTGGCCTGCCGAGCCGGACAAGCCTTTCACCCCTGTGGGGGATGGCGCAGC